GCTTGTCGATCAGAAAGGCCAGTAGTTCGGCGGTTCAAATCCCTAGCGCTGCATAACAGAGTGAGCTCCCGTAACTTGTCCCAGCTTCTGCCAACATAGCAATTCTAAAGCATGTAAAAATGCAAGTAGAAAAATAGGAACTACCTTTGGTGGCAAGGTAGCAGTGTTCCATGCGCCTTTGGCATTTAGTCATGTCTGACATATTTACCTTGTTTAGAAGGTTAGTTTAAAATATCCCAACAATAATTTTAATGAGACCTGTTCAGCAACCCTTCAGCTTATATTAGAACAGTACAGCAGCATGGTGCTTTTCTTCTGGTTTTATCACTTGAGTAAAAGTATGTCAATAAATAAGTTTTTTCTAATCTTACCTGTTCTTATCTGCCTTGATTCTTCTGGAAAGCTATGAAATAACATAGAAATTGGCTTGCTTATGTTACTGAATTTTTATTATGTTTTTAAACTATTCTGAGTTTGGTGTGAATCAATAGTGGGTTCCGGATGCCGTCACAACCAGTACGCTGCGACAGGGCTGGGCATCCTCAGTGGGCATGTGTGCTGCGCATGCATGCACATGCCACCGCCCAGCGACACTCAGCTGCTCAGCAGAGGTCGTGCAGGCACCACATGCTGTCTGCGCATGTGCAATTGGCCCGTTTGCCTCAAAAAGCGGTAAGGAACATGGGTGGGCCAAATGGCCCACCGTTCTAGTACGGTACCTACTGCTCCCAGCTACCACCAGTATGCCCATACCGGGCCGTACCACCCGGAACCTACCACTGGTGTGAATCTTGTCAGTCTTGGTAGAACTGGGGTTTAGTAGAATTATAACTGTAGACTCTTGATTTAGTTTTGAAAATAAGTATGTTAGAAACAAAGTCACTGTTTTTATTCTAGAGCCTTCATGCTATGGAGGGACATGTCATGATAGCATTTCTGCCTACTATTTTAAACCAGTTGTTTAGAGTTCTTACAAGAGCAACTCAGGAAGATGTTGCAGTGAATGTGACAAGGTAAAAGGTTTTTAACATATTTATTTATCAGATTTTATGCAACATAGTGGACCAGATTCTTGGCAGTTTAAAATAATTAAAAGTATCAATAGTAAAATCAAAACGACTAAAACAGATGTAAAGTAAAAGCAACAGTTATGGACATCCTATCACCTAATGTAAATTCTTTGGAGTAATATATATATTTAATTTACAGAAGGCTAATACTATTAAAGTCAAACTATTATCTAAACATGAACTGAAGCATACATCACACTCATACCAAAAGAAGATTCTGACCATCAACAGATAAAAAATTACAGACCCATTTAATTATTAAATAAGACTACAAAATATTTATATCCATAATTTCGGAACAACTAAAAAAATACTAAGCAAAGTCATTCACGTAGACCAAAAATAATTTGAAAATAATTACAAATACTCTAGAATATCCCGAAGCACATCCCGAAAAACAAGTTGCACTGATTTTTTCAGTCACCTAAAAGGCCTTTGACAATCTGAATTGGCAATTCATTACTACACAATTAAAAAACATACAATTCGGAGAGAAACTTGTGAAGATGGTAACAATATATTCAATTCAAACAGCAAAAGTGCTAATAAATGGAGACGTTCCAGAGAAAGTTAACATTTTGAAAGAGGTAAGACAAGGATGCCCCCTATCACCCCCATTAGTTATTTTAACCTTAGAGGTACTACTAATGGAAATTAGTTGGGAACAAAAAATAAAAGGACTAAAAATTAAAAAAAGAAGAATATAAAGTCCAAGTGTTTGCAGATAATTTAGTATTTATTCTAGAAGAACCATTAAAAACAGGGTCCAAATTAATACAAAAAAGGTGAAATATTTTGGAATTTGGCTAACAGAAAAGTATTCAACGATCAAAGAAGATAACTAATAAAACTATGCAACAATAAAAAAAGATTTGGAAAATTGGAAAAAACTGCAACTTTCAGTTGCAAGTTTTACTGCTACTATTATATATTCAGGGGTGAGCTGCTACAGGTTCGCCCGAGTTCAGGAGAATCCATAGCTAATATTATGGCCCATCCAGAGAACCTACAAATCCCACCCCTGGCTGATATTCATCATTTTTTGAGCATCTAACACCAACAATGACCAAAATACATAATAAGGTTTTGAGTTCCTGTGGTGAGATCCTCCTGTTTCTGGTAGGTCTACAGCTGGCCTACCAACTGGAATTGTGAAAGCACACTTTCCTTAACCTTCTCCAACCCCTCACACCTTCTTCCGGGCAGCCTTTTTATGCTCAGCAAGCACAGACTTTGTAGATGCTCATACTCTGCTGCTGTGTATTCATAAGGAAACTTTTCCTTCATTCCCATATACTGGGAATTTGCCTTCAGAAGGTCCATGGAAACTACAGTCACTTAACAACCACTGTAAAAATTAGGTCCAACTCAACTCAACAACCTCAAGGACTCACAATGGAATTTCCATTCTCAATTGTGGTTGTAGCAATAGAAATAGCACTTAGACTTACCATCTTTCCCCCAAAATGTGGCCTGTCTTGAAACTAAAGCCTTTCCACATTTTTCGAGTGGGCAAAAATATAAGGCTCCCCTTAAAATAAGCCCCCTGGACAACCACCCCCCTCCGGCCAGGCAGAACACCACTCACCAACCTAGCGGTATCCCGAAGGCACCAAGCCACGTGGTGCTCTGCCCGCCCCCCAGCTCCCACGGCTTGGCACATTCGGGATACCCCCTAGGTCAGTGCATGGAGCTCTGCTCCGGCTGGAGAGGGTGGTTGCGCAAGCACCTGTTCCGTCCCCAGCTCGCTGCCTCCCAGCCTCACCATGCCACCGCCGCTGCACTCCGAGCATAACTTCTTCTCCGGCTTCCAAACTTCAGAACTTGGTTTCCGATTCTACTCTAGGAGTGCACTCTATGGTTGTGGGCTATACGGTATATATACCACACGGTATATACTGTTTCATAGTGTTTCACAGTCCTCTCTAAGCGATTACAGAGTCAGCATATTGCCCGCAACAATCTGGCTCCTCATTTTACCGACCTGGGAAAGATGGAAGGCTGATTCAATCTTAAGCTGGGGGGGGGATCAAACCCTGGAAGTCAGCAGAATTAGCCTGCAATACTGCATTCTAATTCTAAGCATTGTGCCACATGGCTTATAAGCTGAGAACTGACTGTAATGTGCCAATTGTTGATTTTAAAAATATTTAGAATGTGAGGATTTCTTATTGTTAACTTTATTTTACTTAGGGTTATTATCCATGTGGTTGCCCAATGTCATGAAGAAGGATTGGATAGCTATTTGAGATCCTATGTCAAGGTATCAATCATATAATTGTGTGCTTGGTTTAAAAAAATTGCATGATTAACCTAACTCTGAATGTTTTTTGCATAATGTAAGCTCTTTTATTTTTCTTATCCCAAGTACGTTTTTAAAGGAGAAACTTATATTGCTTCAGAATATAAAACTGTACATGAAGAACTTGCCAAAACCATGACAACGATCTTGAAGCCATGTACTGACTTCCTCACAAGCAACAAGCTGCTTAAGGTATATAAGGAAAAAGGATGTTTTGTTTGCATCTTCAATTGAAGAGTTTCTCAGATCTGAAAAGAATTTTAGCACTTCATAATTTTAATAATTGACAATAACAGTTATAAATCATAAGTTAAAGATATAAATGAATAGCTTATATTGTTTTTACATACTAAACAATGTATTGCCTATAAATATAATTATGTATATACAGTAGATTATGTGATATACAGTATATTATATGTGTATAGTAGATTATGTGAGTTATAGTCTCACTTTTTGCATGAAAGCCATCTCGGTGAGTTTGGGCCAGACACTTTTCTCTACCCAACTCACCTCACAGGGTTGTTGTTGTGGGGAAAATTAGGGAAGAAGGAGTATTACATATACTTATGTTCGCCACTTTGAGTTATTTATAAAAAAGAAGGTAGACTAAAAAAAAATCTAGTTTATTTACTTTTTGTTTCTCCAATAGTATTCCTGGTTTTTCTTTGAAATTTTGATCAAATCAATGGCCCAGCACCTACTGGAAAATGCTAAAGTAAAGGTAAATGATCTGCTACTCCAAGAGGTTATGGTACCCATTTTTGACCTTTAAAAATGCATCTATAAATTGACTTTGGTTTATAATTCCAAATATTATCTTGATACTGTACTTATATTTTCTATAATTTTTCATTGCAAGAAGTGGTTAGTGCTATTACTTCTACTAAACTCGTTGAATAAATATTTTAGAGTAGTATTTCTTATAGCTTCATAGATATCCAGATAAAGGTATTTCAATATTTTTCAACACTATGGAATTCTTGCAGCTTAAATTGTTTCAGAATTGAAAACTTTACACATACGTTATGGATAAACAGAATAATTTTGCAGTGTTCCCATTTGTAAATTCTGATTTGTCTGTGCCTAGTTGCTAAGAAATCAGAGATTTCCAGCATCGTTTCATCATGCCGTGGAAACTGTTGTCAATATGCTGATGCCCCACATTACTCAGAAATATAAGGATAACCCAGAAGCTTCGAAGAATGCAAACTACAGTCTTGCTATCTTCATAAAAGTAAGTATACTGTATGTATGTCCTCATTAGTTCTTCCAAATGACTGTGAATTGTTCAGATGTATTATTTTTGTGGGCATTTATTTATTGAAATCATTTCTATTTCACTGGGCAGTTACAAGAATCTCACAATACAATTTTAAAATATAAATAATACATAATCAAAATACTTCCTTGCTAAGCCTTCAAAGTATAATTGATTGATTGGTTGATTGATTGGTTGATTATATGCCATTAAGCAAGTATTGACTCTTAGTGACTACACATATACATTTTCTCCAAAATGATCTGTTCCTAACCTGGTCTTCCAGTACTACCATTGTAACTAGGTCCATGCACTTTGCTGCTGGTTTGTGCAGCATTACAGCCTCCTTTAAAGAGCTAGGTTTTAACATAATATGTCCAAAGTAGCCCATTTAGTCATTTGTGTCTATCAATTTTATCTCAAGGGAGAAATGGACATTTGTGCCCTGAGTGAGAACTCTGGGTTGATTTGTTCAATGATGTATCCTTTTGTTTTTTTGGTTATCTGCAGTATTCTCAGAGGTCTTCTCCAACACCAAAGGCATCAATACTCTCCCTGTCCTTTATTCTTTAAAGTCCAACTTCTACTTCCATAAAATACCATGTATAATTTATTGTAGGTATAGACACATCATGGCATTTGAATATAATTTCCAGGGCTTTCATGGCTGTTCTACCAAGTGCTAATCTGCAGCGTATTTATTGACTGGTCTAATTTATATTTAATTTTCATCCCATTGCACACACGCGCGCGCACGCACACACACACACACACACACACACACACACACACACACAGTGGTCCTTGACTTCTAGGATTTGCCGATCCTTTGTATTTTTGACTATTAGAAAGTGTCATTAATGTAATGCCGGTTATTGATGTTTCTTTGTCCAATTTTAAAACTATGTTCATCTTCTTCCAATCTAGCTTCCCTTAATATATATTGCATATAGATTGAATAAAAAAGAGGAGAG